AGGGTTAAGGATGAGCTGCAAAAGATCTGAACACCTTTTGTACAAGGTTTGAAAACACTGGGAGCTCAGAAAGAAGCTGGAAGGTACCAGAATCAGTAGATGTTGGGACTGAAAATAGAGTTGAGATTTCAGTGATGTGGGAGGGATTTATTGATTTATTGTGAAGCATAAATAAAGATGTATTACATTAATATTCAAATCAGCAGTTCATGGGTTTTGGAACTGTAGGTGATCTCAACATGTTAGCATGGCATGAAGTGACCGATAGTGTTAGCTAGTTGCACCTCAGTAGGAATGTTGTGCACATAAACATTTGCTTTAATTAGTAGTTCAGTTGTGAGTGAACAGAAATTCTAAAGCAGTGAATTTGATCACAGCTGAAATATATAAAGTTATGTTTATTTCTTTCACATTAGACTTTAAAGTTTAGATGAGTCGTGTAATGAGCCTCAGCAAATACTGTTTAATAGAGTTTGGACTAAAATAGATGTTTGTGAATTTAACATGTTTTGTCATTTAATACATTTACACAGTGTAAGTAGTTGTGCTGTGAATACAGAAGGTGCTATTAACTCTTTAGAAATACATAAATGTCATGTGAAAAAATTGCAGAAATTCTACAAGCACTTCTAATTTAAACGTTATATAATTCATTCAGGTTTATTGAACATGATGGAGAAACATAAATTATAACACCGTTTTACATTGGGTTTATGTATTTAAATTGAATGGAAAATCGACATAATTAAAATACATAAGTTTTAACTTTCGGGTTTAAATATTTTTTTGAGTGCATGCAGGACGTGGCAAGGAAAAAAAAACAGTACCCATCAAAAACGTATTTTTTCAATTTCGCTGTATTTAACATTATCACTGCAACATATTAAAACTTACAAGACACACACAAGTTCACTGGTTATTTTGGAGAGCAGATAAAATGGTGATAGTTGAAGTGTAGACATACAGACGTCTGGTTCCTACTACTACAGTGGTAAACAATTTTGACTCTAGAAAGAATTTTGTTTCTCTAGAAAGGCACATTTCACACCAAACCACTCTGAATGATTTTGTTTACATCTAAACCATTACATGATTCAATAATTTAGCTAAATCAATGGAGCAGGTCTTCAGATGATCATCATGTTGTCCAGCGTTGTGTGTTTGTCTTTTATGCATTGAAATATTGTTGATGCATTTTGGGATTTTCATGTACTTTTGATAGAGCAGCTTTGTGCAAGATAACGTTCTGTGAAAATGGACAATGAAGTTTTATCTAATCTAATAAAGTCAGTTTGTGTGTCCTTTACATTTTTCTATTCTAATGTGTTTGCATATTTTAAGTCAAGTCAAGTCAAGTCAAATTTATTTGTACAGCACTTTTTACAACTGATGTTGTCACAAAGCAGCTTCACAGAAATCCATTAAAGACAAAGTTTTAACATGAAATGTAAATCCTCCAGCTGAGCAAGCCAGGAAAAACTCCCTCAGAGCTGAGGAAGAAACCTTGGGAGGAACCAAGGCTCACATGGGGGGACCCATCCTCCTCTGGTCAAACTACCTACAAAATTATTATACTACTAATATTAATAGTAGTAGTAGTAGTAGTAGTTAGGAAATTATTTTAATATGCCTGTTTAAATGCAGCTGCATTGTCTTGTTTTCACATTTGGAAAAAGCTAAATGAATTAGTAGTTTTATGAACTCGTTTATCTCCTGCATCGAGTAATTTTTATGTTTCACATTGAGATTCACATAAGAATGCTTTCCTTCATAGTGTATAAAGTTCAATCTCAGAAAAATCAAAATCAGGATTTTTATTCGCCAAGTATCAGATGTACAAGGAGTTTCTCAACATACAGTAAAATTAGATCCATATAAAACACAAGTACACAAACAATCTGAGAGCGATATAAAGGATGTGCAATGAGACACAAATAGAGTAACAATCATACAAATACACAGTAATGCAGACAAAATAATGGAGCAGCTAATATAAGTGTGAGTGTATTTATAAAATAAGTATATTGAATAAGTTAAAGTGCATATATGCACTGACTACAGTACAGTGTATAAATCTTTTTATTTATTTATTTAATTAAATCATATTTTATTTTATGTTGACACCTGCATCCTGAACTGTGACTGATTTATTTATTTTGGATTGTTTTCATTTGTTGGTTAATTAATGACTTGATTAATCATTTTCTTTTTTGGAAACAATCTCTACAAAGATCTTTCCCAAAGAATTAGTGTTAGGGAAGTTATTAATTCACCAGTAACTCAGGCAAAGTCCTGTCCTTTCTGTTCTGGAATCAGTCACAGTTCTGGATAGTTCAAGTGGATACGTCAACAGTTCTCCAGGTAAGTCTAAAAGTCCTTTAAAGAGCTGCAAACTGTTTTATAAACATATATACAGCGGTCAGGCATAACATTCTGACCACCTCCTTGTTTCTACGCTCACTGTCCATTTTATCAGCTCCACTTACTATATAGGTGCACTTTGTAGTTCTACAGTTACAGACTGTAGTCCATCTGTTTCTCTGATACTTTGTTAGCCCCCTTTTACCCTGTTCTTCAGTGGTCAGGACCCCCATGGACCCTCACAGAGCAGGTACTATTTGGGTGGTGGATCATTCTCAGCACTGCAGTAACACTGACGTGGTGGTGGTGTTTTAGTGTGTGTTGTGCTGGTCTGAGCAGATCAGACACAGCAGTGCTATATAGTAAGTGGAGCTGATAAAATGGACAAGGAGTGTAGAAACAAGGAGCTGGTCAGAATGTTTATGCCTGATCGGTGTACATTGTGCTGGTTTAATGTAGAGCAAAGGAGAGACCAGGGTGGGGCCAGAATTATGAACCCAAAACTGAAAGTCTGAGATCATATAGATAAAGATTCCTGATGTCTTGATGGGTGAATAAGACACAAACTGTACCAAAATAAATAAATAATTTATTTATTTTTGATGACTACAGAGATTTGGGTATACATTTATTTATTTATTTATTTATTTATTTATTTATTAATTCTTCATGATTTTTCACAGTATAATAGTGAAGTAAATGTGTTGATCATGTTTATTTGTAAAGATCAAAATGAAAGTGCAGTAAAACGACACTGTAGCTCCAAACAACACATGATGCCTTTACTGTATTTTCTCATCACGTGGTTTTATGACTGTAATGACACATTTTGGAGAAATAAAGAAATTAAGACAGAACAAACTCAGGACAAATCAAAAACCTTCTCCAGAGAATTTGGTTTGGGTGAGTTATTAATTAACCCACACAGACACAGTCGCGTAATAAGAACAGTAAAAAATAATAATGTAACTGGCTGCAGAGCAGCACTGCCCACAGTCACAACACTGACAGTAAAGCAGAGCAGAATTAGAGGCTTTCTCTGTTTGTTTCAGTCTAAAATGTTTAAAATAATGTAATAGATGTTCTTTTTTCTTTCTGCAAAACAAGACTGAACACATCAATTACGTTCCATGAAATGAAGTATCTGATCTTCTATTTCCACACACACCTTGATTTTTGGGGAAAGTTTCTACTGTAATTCATCAAGGGAACCAAATCGCCATTGAAGTGTTGGTTTATCAGCAGACACTGGTCACTGCTACGACGGTACTGTAGAGTTTACGCTACTGAAAAAGACGTCGTTCCACACAAACTGTTGAGCTGTATTTACGGCTGTGTTTGGCTCCAGCTTTGATTCACACATGGAATAATTTTTCTAACAATTCGCTCTGATTCGCCGCATCTCAGTCGTGATAGAGTGATAGAGCTGATAACACAAACAGTGAAAACAAAAGGCTCATTACACCTTTATTATTAGTCATTATTAGAGATTATTAGAAACAAACTGACCTTACCCAGCTCTGTGACTGCTTGCATCACTTTGGCTCCAGGCCAGCAGGTTTACGGTGCTGGAAAGGCACCGGTAAGAGTTTGACTCCAGTTCTAAAGAAATCTGGGTAACACTTTCTATGAATGTCACCTTTGTAAGCATCTATAAACACATTTATAACATGTTATAATGTATTCATAAGGCATTATAAACATGGTTATAAATATTTATAAAAAAAATACACTGAATTACACTTTATAGCCATGTTTATTATACATTATGAAGTGTTAATATAATGCATTATAAATAGCGTTAATAACATGCTATAATATCAGTGCCAAAGAAGTCAGTCCCAGCTTGGAGAGCGTAAAGACAAATACCAAGCTAACGGTGGTGAACATTACCTTTCCCACACTGGGTAAAACACTGATGGCAGCTCTAGTTTAAACTCTGACATTTGAAGCCTGTAATGTGCTTTACTGTGAATGTTTTAGTGTTTCAGTAAATCCTTCAGTAAATACTTCAACTTGAAGCCTCACTCTGAACACTGGAGGAGGCTTTAGTACAGTACGCTTCACTTTACTTAGAGTGGACTAATACAACTTATGAGCGCTTATAATTTTTTATGAACAGTACTTATATAATGTTAACAATTTATAATGCATAATAAACATGGCTATAATGTATAATGCATTTTTATAAATATTTATAGCTATGTTTATAATGTCTTATGAATGCATTATAACATGTTATGAATGTGTTTATAGATGCTTACAAAGGTGACATTCATAGAAAATGTTACCAAAATCTGTTTTATACAGAAAGTTACTACATGAAATGGTTATGAATTCACTGCCTGATGACTGAGACACTGTTTTATGATAGTTATGAGAACTTAAACTCCATTCATGGTGGAGGGATACATGCAGGGCGCTGTGAGGCAAAATAGTCCCAAAGAAAACTTATTATTTCAGATTTTCCACTATTTTCCATCATCAACATTCCATATAAACTCAGAAGACTCGTGTAGGTTCACTGGTGGTTTGGATAGTAAATAAAATGTCTATATTTGTGTTGTAGTCATGGCGACCCCTGGTTTCTATCACCACCACTGTAGGAGATCTGAGTCTGTGATTTTGTTTACATTTCAGCAATTGAATTATGTAGAATTTAGGAAAAAGACAAAAATGGTGGAATTCCCCTTTAACTCCTACACAGAGTCTCTGTGAGTGACATCTAATCTATTTCATCCTTCATATCACAAAATGCAGCTTTTTCCATGTTGTTGTCTGACGCCCCCTTGTGTACAGTTCATTGGTCACCCTCTGATGTTTTTTATAAAGGTGGAGCTACAGACTGATATTTAAACCCCAACCCAGTCCATTAACACCACTTAGTTCTACGTGTGACCAAGAACGCAGGTACAAGTATTAACATCTATTTTTCTTATGCATATTTCATATTTCTGTACTGTGCAATTATGTGAGATAATCTCAATTTACTTCATTTCTTCTTTTATTATTTTTCTAAGCAAGGAAACTGAATAGAAAATCCATTTTTAAAATGAAAGTTTCTTCTAAAATGTAAAATAAGGATATGATGAAAGACAGAAAGTTACCTGAAAGAGGTTCTTACTCGACTCTGAATAGAACACGAATAACAACTACTGTTTGGTCTTAATCTCACTCTTATTCACAACTGTGTCATTTTCAAATCAGTTTACTGTAACCTTTATATCATTT